TCTGAATTCGACGTATCGCAGCCGACTTACCCCGTTGTGAGGACGGCGGCAAAATCGACTTCTGCGGCTTTTTGTCGGCGGCGCTTACTACCACCTCCGCTGGTGGAGTTAGAGCGCCGATTCGGGGATCGATTGTCGCGTCCCAATGGGACGCGATAAATCGATCCCCGAGAGGTCGATTTCTACCCGCCGATTCAGGCGGGTAGTATAGACCAGACCTAAGTCTCTCCTGTTGCAGCGGCAGAAAGATTTAGATTTGGGTTCCTGCAGGTCATGTGCTCACTCCTAGCCACGTGCTTGTGACTACAGCACCCTGTTTTAAAGAGCTTAGAGGCTGTAACAGGTTCATTTGGATGTACACATGCACCTAAGGCCCAGTGCTCTGTTACAGTGTGAGTCAGACCCTAGGTTCCATTTATAAGAGCTCTCAAAGTTCAGAGATTTAACTAAATGCCTCTCATCATAGGCCATTGCTATCTCGGAGCAGAGACAGGCCAAATCCTTGACAGTGGGATTCTGATCCAGGTACCGTTTTACCCAAACCTCCAATGCTCATCTTTACTGTGAAGGCCAACTATTAACTAACGAGAGACTTTTTGTTTTGTGAGGGAGTGTTTGCTTTAAACAATTTGTGCTACCGGTCAGTATGCAGATGATATGCAGCTCTAGGTTTTCATCAGATCCAGATGCTGTGCTGCCTTTGCATTCCCAGTGCCAAGCCTAGATCAGGACTTGGATGAGAGTTAGCTGGCTGAGGTTTTGCTCAGAAAAGACGGAGGGGATGCTTGTGGGTCGAGGGAAGGATTCTGAGTGTATATTAATGATGTGTCCTGTCTTCATTATTGATACAAATATGTTTTCATCTGGACTCCCAGATGCTCCTAGACTCACAGAGATTGGTGGCCAAGGGGGCTTTTTCCTCCCCTATCTACATCTGGTTGCAAATATTTCTCTCACTTCATGATCTTGCTACTGTCATTCATGCCTTTGTCCCTTTGAGACTGGATTGTGTAATGGGCTCCACCATGGGGCACCCTGGATGACTACTAGAAAGCTACAGGAGATGCGGGAAGGTGCCTGCTTCTCTGTGAAGAGGTATGAACCCCAAAGAACATATTCCATCATTCTGTTCACTTCCAGATGCCATACAGGTTGTTGGCTTTGCTGAATGGTTCGGGTCCTGGCCATCCGAGATAGCTCCTCCCCCTCCCACTCTATCCCACCCCCTCTTATTCACAGTCATGGCAGTTGAACTTTAAGAGCTGATGGTGCTCAAGCTAGCAGTCTCCAGGTTTGACCATCTAGGACTGAGGACAGGTTATTTTCAATGGAAGGCCCCTGACTGAAACTGGCTTCCCCCACTGCTCTGACAGAGCCCAAGTCTGTTGACCTTTAGGGTCAGGGCCGGCTTTAGGCCAATTCCACCAATTCCCCCGAATCGGGCCCCGCGCCTAAGAGGGCCCCGCGC